CTGAGTGGTTGGCTTACGAGTGTGAATTGGACAAAGCGTCTACACCACTCACTTTTTACATGCATCCTCAACAAATAACATCCTACCTTATTCCAGGTCATTTTGTACCGGGGAAGGTGTAATGGCTTCCACTAGTCGTCTCTAAAGTAAGGTACATTTGGCGAATTCATCGTGTTACCCGCCGCAAACCCTATGCGACAAATTTTCGGCTTAGCATCACAGACAGAAATTTCACACTTCTATGTCGAGAAAATTAGCCTCATTTGATTGGCTTACTCGCTCACTGGTACCATCGTTACTAAGTTACTGATGTAAAGAAGCCGGTGTTCTTTGCTTCAACTCCAGATCATAGATCACCATAAAAAATAAATAAAAACAAACTCAAGGTAAAAAAAGTTTAAGATAAGAAAAACCAAGTAAACAACCAGAGCAACTGATTTAATTTGTCAGGTAAATACACACGTTTTTGTTTACAATTTTAGCTCCGTTACTCAAACACTTTTAAGGTGGCGTTCAGTGTAGTTGAACCCGACTCCGAAATTTTTTTTTTTTTTTTCTCTCCTATAGTGTCGAGCAATTGAACGCTGATAAAAAAAAAAAGTCAAATACGGTCACACAGAGACTGAATAGCTTCCTTGATTTTTTGGATTGGCGCACCATGTCAAATCACAGGTGTATATCAGTGGATATGGCATGCAGATTTATTGAATGACTTGAGTCCTCAATCTTGCATATGTTGAGGCACGATTAAGATTTTCTGTTACGGACACGTCTTTCGTACTCAGAGTTGATAAACACTCAGCAGTTAATGCAATTTTTCCCAGTAAAGGACCAAACCTTTCACTTTACGAACGTTAAAAGAATAGATCCACCGGTTACGCACACAATTAAACATGGAATGACTGCGAATGACTGACTAGATGGTTACATATGTCTCGAAAGACACGTGGATGTGATGCTTGTTGTCTCGATAGCGAGAAATTTAACCCCAAAACTACTCAAGAGCTGCCGTTTGGAATTCTCGCGATTCTTGACACTTGTATCGATCAGGGCGCGGCGGGTGAGAGTCGGATTTATTTCCTTCAAAGACGGTAAATTTTATGATAACTTATATTCAGTACAAAACGCTCGCTGCGTTTTAATGCAAAAATGGTTTGAAACTCTCTGGAGATTCGGTGGAAGTGAAGCAAGGTATTTCATGACGGCGACAATTTCATCGCCACACACATCTTGCAGATATCAAATTTTGTTGCCATGCCTGTGTAAAGCACCATGCAAAATATCTTTTGTTTTATTTTCATTAAAGTTTGATGAGGTTTCACAATAAGTTGTAATGACCAATCATTACAGGTGGCTATATGCAGCCGATGGTGGCTTCGAGAACAAATTGGCACCGGCTTAAACTTGTCAGCAAGTCCAATTGAAAACCATAGTGAGCGTGTGGCAAAAATTATTGAAAATTTTTTCTTCCCCTGTCTCGTAAAATAAGACCTAAAAAATTTCCTTGACATCTCATTTTAGCTTACATCTCTTTAAAATGTTCCGAAAAGGAAAAAAAATGTTATACTATTCAATAATACAACAGAGAATGATTTAATATCATAGCTGTTTTGTTCTCAGGCTTTTCACACCATCGACTTAAAAGCTTTTATGTTCATTGGAGTTTTTTAGCTAAAAACAGGTTTTTTAATATTAGTGCGATTAAACTAAGCTGTTGTGGTCGACTCAAAGGGGAAAATGAACTCTATTTAAATACAGCCGAACAGGATTAACAAGCTTCCGTTCAGATGTTGAAATTCTCGCGAACATCTAGAAAGCCCCTCCTCCAGGGTAATATTCAAACGTTTTAAGTCGCTTTTTTAATTTTCTTGAAACTGAAAGATTATCAACATATCTGCTACTAATAAAGCCCAGTATCTTCAGAAAAGAATAGGCAAATCAACTTTAGAAAACAGCCGCGGAAACAATAGCGGTATCCCACACTTAAAATTTTCCTGATGAACCTCTATTGTATGTTCCCATGGACTGCTAATACAAAATTGTTTTAATAGACTGAAGAGGTAAAGAGGGAGTTATATCTCTGATCGACAAGCGAGAATGTGGGCAGTTCCTAAAGCCGTTTGAATTCCAAACTTGTCAACTTGTTGTTGTGACAATATTTGCTTGTGGGTAGTTGAAAAGTGATTGTTTCCTCGAATTGTGAATAAATCACAACCGCCCCTTTCCATCATCTGCGGGTCGTAATTATCACCGCATCGAACTAATATTTACCATACTCAGTACAGACGGGACTTATTGGATGTTTTGAACAAAATTCAGAGGCTTACGAATCGTTTTGAAGATGAATTATTCATTTCAGTTCATATATAGCCCGCGTGGCCATCGATCGAAGGGAGAAGGAGGGGGAAAGTTGATTGATTCAAGAGGGAGGTATATTCCTGAAGTTGGGTGCGACTTGCGAAGACAGCGCATCGTGGACGAAGTAACTTCCCCCTCCTTCCCCTATCCTTCCCTCCGCTAGCCAAGCGGGATATTTCAATGAAAATCTACCGTAAAACATGAATTTTTCAAGCGAATTAACCAAGTACCCCATTTGTAGCACTATCTAGTGAGGCGTAAGGTATTGAATTGTGTTGATAAGAAAGAAAGTTTGATCGATTTCATCGTGAAGATTTGGGCTCTATCTCGAGTAGTGCTCTCTCACGATAAGTTGGATCCCGTTACAGTAAAAAAAAAAAAAAAATACAGATATAGCTTGACGCAAAGTCTCCGGCCATATGACTGAAGTAACTAGTTCTCAGTTATCTAAAAGTGTGACATAAAATGCTCAACAACGAGCCATGAGTATGTAACATGAGTTTTAAGTTTCAGCTTACAGTCGGAATATGTGGATCGGTGGTAAATCACTTTCAGTTAATAAAAAAATAGCATTTCAAACAGTAATTATAGTAATAATAACAATAATGACGGGAACGGAAACATTCCACGAAGTGCGCGGCTCTTTTCTCCACTGTTCCCAAGTAGAATTGGAATTTAGAATGTTGGTTTTTGTGAAGGCAAGAAAATAAGTACCAGGAGAAAAACAGTCGGAGCAAGGACGGGAACCAACAACAAACTCAATCCACATGTGACGTCAGCTCTGGGAATCGAACCCAGGCCACCCTCTCACTACTGTAGGAATGAAAACACAGGTTGAAAACTTCAAGAAATGGAAAAATAGTTTGGTTTATTTTTCCATTGATTATCTAGTTTGAGGCGTTGACCAGACACGCTTGATGCTTTTTACCCTGGGCTTCAAAGCGAAGAAGTCGATTAAGGAAGGGCAAATTGTCACACTTCCTGCTCACAGACATAATCTCAAGAAGACAAAGCATTTTAACTCAGAAATGACTGTTTAATATCATTTACAACTTCACTGTACATGTTTCTAGTTGTTATTATTTATATCATGGTCATTCCTTTCACCTTGTACGGTTTAACACTAGTTCACTACCTGGGTACCCTGTTTTCCAATTTAACCCTTCACTCCCACGAGTAAGTGATGAGTCGTTCTTCCTTAAAACATCAAAACATCATTATACAGGAAAGTGATGGAAAGCAGACTTATATTTCACTTGAGGGATAAAGTTAGACTAAAGCCAAATTCTCAAAGGTTGAATTAAAAAGATATATGGAGGACAGTGGGGAGAATCGATACTTAAATCTGGAGAGTGAAAAATCGTGGGAGTGAGAGGAGCGAAACATGGAGGAATATATGAACTTCTCCTGCAGGCATAACCGGGGGTACTCTCTCTGATAACCTAGGGTGTGTCTCTTCACTACGTTCCTAATCGTCACATAGATTCATTATATTACAACACTATAATAAATTAATACTGTCTTCACAATATTCACACAATATTTAACACATTATACAAATAAATAAAGATCAACTTTTTGAAATACAGCAACACATCTTATGGCGCATAGGAGTCAAACCACAAACTACTGATTAATTCACAATAGAAGCATTTACATGGCTTAGGAGTCCTGTGATTTTCTTCGAGAAATTCGATTTCTTTCACCTCAAACGAACAATTGAGCCTGCAATGTAATTATTCAACTACACTACTTGCTATCACTGCAAATTGTTACAGTGCACAAAAGTTCTTCTAACATAACAAGGCAAGTTTTAATTTAGTACCGACAGTATTCCGGGATTGATTTCTTTGCTTTTGTTTAGTTCGTTTTGTGATTAGTTCAGAAAACTCGTGCTGCTCTCTCAACCAATCAGATCAAAACTAAAACAAATCACGACTTGGTCACTTGCGTTTTCCCGCGCTTCAGGCAGTTTGCTCTTCTTTACTTCGCGTTCTCATTCCCTCTTATGATACTTTCCTTCCTTTGATTGACAGCTGTCATTACTCTGGTTTTGATTATACGACACTCAATCGAAATGCGCTTTATAAGTGACCCAAAAACTTACTATTTCAGCTAGCACGTGACAGAAACCAGTTTAAGGGAGTTCTGACCGACACATGATCGGAGATATAATCTGATTGCTGCATTCAAACGAAAAAGGAAAACAATACAATTTTTGTTCGGCTAAAATTATTTGGCATGACACTCTCAACCTGCTGATCAAAGCAAGTCTGGAATCATTAAAAAATCATAACGTAAATACTTTTCAATATATACTCTTAGAACTTAATATAATAAATACATTAATTATTTACAATATCATTTTCTTGTATGCCACAATGTGCTCTTTTTTTAAGACATTGACAACTGAAAAAGGCCAGCTCTATTTCTTAACAAATGAAAATGATTACGCACCAGTGTTTAACGATTATTTTTTCAGATCATCAAGATTTTTGTTTCGATTGCTTAGAAATTATGTTCAAGTTAAAATTTCAAGGAACATCTATAACAAATTCTCTCTTGCAAGATATCTTAATGTACCTGGATTTATAAATTCACACTTAGAACAAAAAAAAAAAAAGAAGAAAATGGACGACGAATGTTCGACGCTATTCGATTAAGTTAAATTTCTTCCTTATTACAAGACAGTCAAGTCTGGACATAGATAAACTATAATAACGGCATATGTTCTGCAATAATATTACACTATAAGTAAAAATACATGTCTATGTATGGACCAGCCAGATAATTGACAGCTAAATAACATAACATAATATTCATTGGTTACTCTTTCATTCTTTGTTAATCAATAATTATTTCGTGGTTACAACTTTGCTATTCTAAATCGCCGACATCTCTTACAGGTTAACTGTTAAACACAGTGTGAAACAGCATACACTAACACAAAACACACGAAGGGAAACACCCCTGAAAAGATGTGCCTTTGTTCAATGAAAATCCTAAATAAAACGGTTTTGTAAAAATCTGAGTTAGTGTCCCATGAATAGAGGGTTTCACTACACTTTGTCAACAGCGCAGAAATGTTGACTTACACACAGTTTTATCTAAATAACCCAAAGTTTACGATATAGACAGGAGGAAGCGTGAAATCTCAAAACAATTTCAGAAGCTCAATGCCAGTCAGGCCAAGAAAGTAAGTGCCACAAAATCAGTGTTATGTAAGCATAACAATGGTTGCCAGTCTCCCATTCGAGATGGCAAAACTAGTTCGCTACTTACAAGGGTGGCCTGGGACTCGAACCACGGACTTTGAGGCATCGGTTCAACTCACTAGAAAAAGGAAGCCGAACATGTTCAAACGAACACGCTTTTTTCGAGAGATCTGGCTGAAACGTAAGTCACTTGGTATGTAAAACATGTGTCTCAGACGTGAGACACTTGAGGAGAAGCCCTGAGATCTTCGCAAAACCGCGCACTCAAATGAAAATGATCTCTGTATATATGTACAATCCCTCTCTTAAATGCAATCCTCTACAAGTTACTGACTTTAAGAGTGATTTTCCTCAACTACTGTTCATTAAACTTACTCACCGACCGCCCCTTAGTCTGTCTAAAGGAAGAGTAATTGAACGATCCTGATATTGTCGAGCAATCCTTATCAGATTCAAACGAAGGTTTGTCTGAAATTGACCGTTTTAGCCTGTGTCTTGTCTTAGACACACGCGAGGGAAGGCCAAAACAACCGCGCCTAAGGATCAAACGAGAATTTCCCACTGCAGGCCTTGAAATAGTTTGTGTAGTGAGCGCAGTCAAATGAGCTGCGTAACCGTCTTTTAGGAACTGAAAACAAAGAAAGAGATACTTTGTTGACATAATAAAACCCTTCAGACTTGGGCGAGAGGAATCAGCTGCCATTTTTAGGTGCAATGTTAATATTGAAGGCATGCAAACTTGTTATCCCAAATGGATGCGAGAACTTCCTAACGCTTGAGATCTCCCCTGGTACTTAGAGCAAATAAATCCTGCTGTGCGCGGGAGGAGGTTTAGAGAGCAAAAACTGAAAGGTGCGCGAGTAGACCAAGAGGAATCTATCAAACTAATACCTCTCTGTCGACAAGAAACCTTTTTCATTCGCGCGCGTTTAAACTCGAACCTCAGATAATCACCTTGGCACCGGCTGTGCAGTTCAATCTAGATGAACGAACGAAAACTTTTCTGTGTGCTGCAAGGCACTCAACAGAGCCGAAAAATTACCTGAGTTTGTTTGGAGTATTTCCTTGGATGGTATTTTCCCACTGTGTATATCTGATGTGGTTGGACTCCAATTGACGAATACACCGATATGTCTTTTACTGATCCGTACGCAGCGTGAATCTGTACTTGACACTGCCAGACAGAAAAAAGGAAAGGCTTAGTGTCTTAGTGTCTATAAAAAAAGTAACCTACGAGCAGAGTATTTTCCTTGGCTCAGTATGCGCGAGTCGCCTTTCCTTAGATTATAAAGCCTGAGCTTATATAACTAATAAGAAAAATTTAAACTTCTCGTAAGGTTTCTAAATTCGCTCCTGGGTCAATTTGTTCGCGTCTGCATTCGTTCGTCGTACACAGAGACATACGCACGTTCGTATCTTCGTTCTTTCGTTTATATACACAACCGTTCGTTTATATTATAATAGGTTCATTCCATTTGCGTTCTACCGTTTGAGCATTTTACCTCTGTGGTCAGTTACTTACATCATTAACAAGGTATCGAAGAAACTCAGTTTTATGTTTCTGAAGTTCTTTTGAGATTCCATCCCCAAAAGAAACCAGACCATACGGAAAATTGTGCTCCGCCAACCAAGACATGACTTTAATTTTCTGAAAATCAGGCCGACTTGTGACGTAAACGATTAGGAATCCTAACTCCTGCCAGTGTCTAGAAGAAGACAAAAATTTATTGATGAGAGAATAGCCAGGACGTAAGAAAGACTGGGTGGGGAGGGTGTGTAAAGCAACACTAACGAGAAAGGAAGGAAGCTCGGTGGCTTCCTGGGTCTCCTCGCCTTCTATAAATTATAGCAGCTGTAGATAAGTTTTTTTTAATTGTTAAAAAGTAAAAAAAAATGATGATGATCATGACGATGATGATTCTTCCACTGCGTCACACAACACTTAACTTACCTAACGACATCCACGGCGCCTGCGCGGACCTTTGGGTCTTTACCACGAATGGAGACGCTGGCCGCAAACGAGCCGTCGATACTGAAAACCACAGCCTCAGTCTTAGGCGGCAAAACGGCCACGTTACTGTCTACCCAGGTATGATCACCTCTGAAAGAAAAAAGGCAAGATTGAAAAAACACTTAAGTCTGGCACCTACGTTCAATCGATTGATGCCACTGAAGGATAGAGATGGGGAGTTTAGGATCGTTCAAGTCCACCAAAGAGAGATCATCTTCCTTGAACAACAAGCCCTTTCAAATTCTAAATCCGTTTCAAATTACGGTGAGAAGCGTTCTATAAGGTGATATAAAATTCCTCTAGTATGATAGTTAGATACATTACGCTTAACCCTCTAAATATCAGAAGCCATTAAGATATACCTTCTCCTCACAATATCAAATCAATATCACTCCAATATCACACAACATATTTACAAGGAAATAGATAGAAACAAGAGGGGAGAATTTCTACTCTGATCTATAAAGTCAAAGGACCAGACCAGTATGACCATAGATATTTCACACACCTGACGACCAACTTTACTGGGTAAATGCCAACCGGAAGTTTCTTCTCTTCAAGAATAGTACACGATAGCCTTCCTCCGCTTCCGGTAATCACGGTGTCGAATAAAACATACTCTCCCGAGGGAGGTTCGGTCATTACATAAATATCGACCTACAAAAGGGCAATGGAAACAAAGGATTAGCAAAACATCAGCCCTTGTGAGGAGAGTTTGTTCCGGTTTCAGTACCACGAAGTGTGTAAGATCTTTTAGACACCTTCATGCATGGAACTCAAATTTTAGTCCTTACTGATATGCAGTATTCAAGCAAATCTCTATCTATTGCCCCCAACTTGCCTAGATTTAAGGGTGTCCGCTGAATAATTTTCCAAGCTCTCCATGGATGGGACGGCGGATATAGTTTTAAAAATTTAGTCGCTCTTAACCACGTTATAACGGTTCCCTGCCCGATAGAAGGCTTGTACCGATGTATACTCAACGAATTAGAGAGCAACCGCGAGAGAAATTCGTATTACATAAGATTCGCCGAACATATCTCTCTTACCCATAACATACAATTTCCTAATTCTAAGGAGTGTCACACACCCAAAAGCGAAAGCAGTTACAAAAGCCAATCAAACAAAGGAAACATTACATCGAGCTCATAGATATAGAAGCTAAGTACATGCAAATCTTAAGAACAGGACAACGCAAGTGCACAAGTCGCGAACGGCGTTAGTTTTACAACTGATTGGCCGAAGCGTGGCGTGAGTTTTAAAACCGTGGCGTGCCGTGACATAGCACAACGTGACGTGACGTGACGTGAGTACTCAAAACCAATCACAGAGTGTATTGGGACCATCATGAAGAGTTCATTACCTTCTCACCGCTCAGAGATACCATATCTAGAGGTCCATACATGAACCTGGCCGTGAGAACCTGGTCAAGACCTTCAAGGGTTACCAAATCATTGGCTCTATGGTTGGCGTTCAGGTTCTGCCAAGGAATCAAAATGAATAATATGTACTTTTAGACTGAGTTTATTCGAGCTGGACGGGAAAATATTTGGCTCGAGGTCATAACTACACTTGTCAGCTTTCACCATGGTTTTCTACGTGATTGCCCGCAGGGCCCTACGGGTCATATGATAGTAATCGTACTTCAATCACCAAAATTTTGTAATGGTCATGTTAACTACCGAAGATGCTTCGGGCTGTCAAACAACAATTCGTTCTTGACGTTCACGGTTAAGTAAAACAACACTGTTTCAGGATAACCCTAACAAACTTGTAAGACTTTCTAGCAACTTTTTTCATTTTGTGCGTCTCCCCTTTGATTCTTCATTTTAAAAAGCTTTAAAATCGTTCAAAACGTTCCGCCGGTTCTTTTCCAAACGCGAAATTTGGATAACAGTATGAAAGTAGATCACAGGTTGCAACGTTAATTTAGTAAAACTACACAACTCCAGGTGTCACATGAACATGATGGAAAGCTAAGCACGTTTGAACAGGAAATTTCTTTTCAGTGGGAAAGATACCTTGATTTTTATGGCAGTTCTCCGTTTCAACCACTTCTCTCTGGGTTGGGAGGGACAAAACGTCTGACACTTTCTGCTGGGAGAAGACGCACTTGAAATGTCCCATTCCCCATGAAGAATCTAAACGAATGAAAAACGGATATCAGAATTAAGATTCACCGGTCAACAAATCAAATACACACCATAATGAATTTTCTGTGGAGGCTTTAGTGACCTAACCGCACCGTCAAGTCTGTGTAGCAAATTCTCCGGTATAGGGTGAGGGCAAGGGTGCCAAGAGAATTTACAAGCGACAAAACCGGTTTATACCTGTCTGACGACGAACGCAGCCACGTCATTAGACTCCCAATAACTGACATGGAAGAGAGGCGAGAGTACAGCTGTGGGAAACTGTTGAAGTCCCTCGGGACAATACAGCGCGTAGTCCACGCGCTTGATCCCCCACCAGTTTTGAACAGCTACAAAAGGAGATGGAAGACAGCATTAGTATGGACATTTGACACACAGTCATATTAGTGGAACGTGGTGAAGAAAAACCAATGCATCCAAGATTAATTTTCCCCTTTTCACCTTAATAATAATAAATTCCTACTCTTCGCACTGTTTTCTTGACATTTACTATGACACTGACAGAGAGAATCTGTTTGACACTCAGGAGCTTCTTAAACTATTCATCATTTCCTTTTTTGACATACCCATATCCAGATCTGCCCCTCCAGAACTGTCACTAGACACCAGACTTATCGTGCTCAAGTTGCTCTCTCGTTGAACCATGCCCGTAAAGGACCGGGAACTAGGGGTTAAAGGCGGTTGGGGAACAAACAACTCTGGGTAAGCACCGATGACGTTGCTGAGTACGTGTGATTGGCCATCACCCAGTGGGAATCGGTGATAACGAGGTACTTTAACGGCCGGAATTTGGGAAAACTGACTCACGATCAAAGGCTCGATTCGGGATGCTGATGGGTCAAACGGATGAAACAGGTTGTAAACCTGGTTACAAGCAGGTTTGGGCGGAAGAGCTAATAGCAAAAGGAAACAAAATCAGAATTAGAAAAAAGTTTCAAGAGCTGTTCCAGGCCTCGCCCTCAGGGCAGAACACCAAGCAATGATTGACGTAGCTTCTTTCCCATCAGCGCATGCGCAACAAAATGTCCATGGCTTGGTTTCCAAATGATTACCTAGATTTTACCGGTCGCATCAGCTTTTGTGATAATTGGTATGATCCTTGCGATAATTTTCAAAACAGAGCCTTCCACTTTACACCCTAACATCAGTATGCATATTGTCCAAACCGTTCTCTATACATCTCTTTACGTATACTGGGTACTGATCCCAAGAATAAGTTTAACAGTCAGGAGCTTCTGTAGTTGGCGATCAACGTCATTTCCTTTATTCTCATGACCTTAATGCTGATTCATTTTGATACAGAAAGGAGAATTAGATACTGGCGATATAACCTCACTTTTGTCCGAACGATACAGGTCTTCCTTATCATCTCCGCCGTTTATGATCATTTGGCTCAGCATCCGTATATTCATCCCGATCGCTTAACGCATTTTTTTTGTCACTTTAAACGGAAACCAGGTTTAAAAGCACAACGGTTTTGGGGCGAAAATTTGTGATGATAAATTCTTACCAAGACCTCCTCTGTCTTCCCCATTCAAGAACCTTCGATATGCTAACACAAGTCCAATGGGCGAACCAAACGCGAAAAATTTGCTAACTTCAAAATCGAACATCACGTTGTCCACTGACTCTACCGACAAGGACATAGTGTCGAAGCTAAACGTATGCTGTCTGGCCGCCCTGCTGAGAAGGCTAGGTGAGATTATAGCGTTGTCTTCCAACTCATCCACTGGCGGAGCAGTAATCATCTCGTCTGTCTCGGGGTCAACATTTTCTCGAATGTTTCCGCTGCTCAGGCTCAGCCTAAGGTTGTGAGAATTCTCCAGACTGCTCTTGCAGGGAGGAGTGTGACTACTGATCCGCCGAGGTTTCCTCATCACACCGCCGTTTGAGTCTGCATTTTGCCTTGCAGCGAATGACGCAGCTTTCGGGGAAAGTGTCGACGTGTTTGTGATGAAACTCTGAGTGCGGCTATGCGTGGTGTTGACACCAGAGGTTAGGGCATCGTAAGCGAGAAGGGCTCCTATACAGTCGCCGAGGAGGCAAACCTGAAGTAGAAATACGAAAAAAGACACGAATTTAGGGAATTCAGTCAGGTAAACCTCTGTAAAATGAGTAAGACTCGCGTTTTAGCTGTTGAGTATGAAGCTACATGTAGGGTGCGTCTCCTTTTAACGTTCATTTCCTTAACTTATTCATGTTAAGTTTATCCTGGGAAATCTAAGAAGGAGTGTTTGTGACTCTCAGGAAATACCCCTACAAGAAACGCTGTGTAAGCCAACAACAAACGAAACCATTCGCTCGTGCAAAAGACGCAAAAAAGGAAACAACTCTGTGTGTCCCGCTGGCTAGTATAAAAGTATAATTTTTTTGGACTGACCTCTCCACGAAAGCCTTGGCCCTCGTCCGACTTCAAGAACTCTCTGTACACCATGTTTGTGGCAGCTACCATGGAGTTCACTGCCTCGTCATAAAAAGGGGACGACGAAACCATCAGCGATATCGCACTGAGAGGAAAATTACTGGAGACTGGGGTGAAGCCACTGTTTACACTTGCCACATCTGAGAAAGTGAAAATCGTATGTATAAATATCTCACTGCATTGGTTACATTAAATAATACAACTAATTTTAAACGGAAAATTTTTAGATGGTTTATCCTTTACTGAAAGACTCAAGAAACTTCGGATTGGCTTTGAAAAATATTTCGGACGTCGTATTCCAGTTATGAATTTGTCCTTATTTACAGCCTGATCAAACTAACTCCTCCGATATTACGACCAAAGTTTCATGCATTACAGTAGTCAGATTTTGCATTCCTTAGTGTACAAACCTTCATCGTGGGGTTTTGCTCTGCAAGTAAAAAAACAACCACATTTTAAATTCTTACCCGAGTCACCTTCTGAATAGGGACACAGCTGAGACAACAGATTAAGAGCCTTGGAGCAAATGGCAGGGCACTCCACGAGTCTCAGTGCGATCCTTCCTTCCGCTCCTCTGTAGTGTGAGTTTATCACAGCCTCAAATGCATCCTGGAGTAGTTTAAAGTCCATTTCACGCGACGAAGGCTCCAGTCCAGTGTCTAATTGCGTGCCGCCGTTAATGACCAGAATGAGATTTGTGATGCGAGAGGCTGGTAACGAGCATGTCGAAGTATCACTAACTTTCTTGCAAAGTTTTTGTTTTCTTAAGAGCCGAGGTGACTAAAAGATAAGAGAAAATTATTGATTTTGATTTTTGCAAAATTTTTCTTTTCTTAAGAGCCGAGGTGACTAAAAGATAAGAGAAAATTATTGATTTTGATTTTTGCATTACTTAACAGTTAGTCAGAGGTACTATGGCGCCGGACAGTCTTCTACCCACAGTCCTTTCTTAGACGTCTTTCAATAGCTGTATTTATTAATAGCGTTATTTTGATTCATAGTAATTGAACTAACACTCTTCACTAAAATTACCTTATCTACGCTCTGTTCAGATGCCAGTGAGTCTAACGACTCTCTACTGCCCCGAGAAGAATCTGTGTCCAACTCCAAACTCTTGAAACTGTTACCCAGTTCCACGTTACGTATGGTCAGCAGATTCGAGCTAAAAGCATGCTCCTCAAATTCCTCTGCAATGTCGACGGACGAAAAAACAATCAAGTGAGTACGAGAATAACCACCTAAAGAATTCTTAGTGCTTTTTATTTTGTCAGATATGTTCACCTTAGACGATAAGAACCTTTTAAGTTCATATCGCAAAGCGGTAATTCTGTTACCAGAAGTACCTTTCCCATGAAAATTTGTTTGTTGAAACGTGTTCGTTCAAACAGGATGTATCAGGCTTTCACATACGTTACATACATACTTTGTTTGTTAACGTAGGTCGAAAAGTAGCAGCTAAAAAAGCTGTCGTAGACCTACCTATTAGCTAGTTTTAAATTAAACCTAACTATTAAAAATGTTTTAAGAGATTTTCCCACAAAAACATACAAAATCAATCAATTGAACCTTTCTTATAAAAATGTTTACTGAAATATTTACAACAATATATACAAGATTGTTAATTAAACCTAGCTATTAAAAAAAATGTAAAAAAAAAATGTTTACAAAGTAAAAAAAATATATTACTTTATATTAAGAAGACTTTATATTACTTTAAAATACCACTAATAAGTTTAAAATGGCCGAATTGACGAGAGGGTCATGTGAACGATTCCCCTCCATTCATAACAACCAATCTGCAATATCGAAAGATTTGTACAAAACGATGTAACCCTCAAAAAAACTTAGAGAAACTAAGAGTTAACACGCTCAAAAAATGGTAGCTACATCAAGTGTAATATTTCTATTTGAAGCCCCTCGTGAATTTGAGACAAACAAAATGCGAATTTTATCGTAAATTATCGACATAAATAATCTATTAATATTTCATTAATTGCATTAATATGTCATTAACATCTTCAAGACGGTTTTAGGGGTTTAGAATCTTTAACAGGGTATAACAAAATTTCAATTTTAAGCTTCTTGAAGAGTGTCCGTCTGGACTGGAAACTTTCAAGTGGGTTTTAACTTGGTATCGTAGGTGCTCTACATGAATACTACGGACAATTTTTTGCACAAAGTTTTTCCATAAAGCATACTAAGTATATGGGAGGTGGATCTAGGAGGCTCCTATGCCATAATTTGCACTTATTTCTTCTAAAATTGGGTAAAAAACGAACGGATTTCGTAGGATTAAAATTTACCGGTGGCCCCTCGTCATCAAAACTTCCCAGAGAGCCCCCACCCACACCTTTCCCTATGAAAAAAGGTTTAGCAGAGAGGAAAAATTAAACTCACCTTGAGCGTCGAAAAATTCATCATCTGCTGAATCCGAATCATTGGCTTCAATTGTACTCATATGCCAACCTTTTAACATATCTGTACGTGACAATCGTTTCTCAGCGTTAGAACTCATTAGGTCTGTCTGAGCTAAGCCATTGCATTCCACACCGTTCGAGTTCCTTGCGTTATCTTCGTTATCAAATCCGAATTTTTCCACTGTGATTGCGACGGGTGAAGGAGAGATAGTGCTCTCGTTTTCGTCGAGCGAAGCTTTAGAAATTAGTTCTAACCTGGAGGCACTATTGCTTTCTTGGACATAAACAACACTGCCTCGGCCTTTGTCGTTTGCAAAGCCCACCTCCTGGTCGCTGTCTCTATCAGAAGCAGTGTTAGATATACCATGATCGGACAATCTACACATTTTTATGGCTAACACCCTTTGTGTTTCTTCTTCTAACTTTCTTATATCCTCGATTGTCAGTCCGAACCACTCGTCTTGCCACACCCAAGCTTGTCTGTGCCCCATTAGCATCGGGCGACGCAGACTCGAGTGAATAAAATGTTCGATTTTATTCTGAAAACAAAAACCGAATGGATAACATGTCAATTGACTATAAACAATTACGTATTTCCAAAACTTTGAGGTAGAGCACCTTTTTTACCGACTTCAAATTTAAGTACTCACGTTTACTCAAAGTTTTTTTACAATTAAACAATCGTCGTAGTCAAAGACTATTTCAAGCAACTAGAAGCAAGAATGAAATCAGCCATGCTTAGCCTCGCGCAAAATTTCCCATGTTTGGCACAGGGTGAACTTTTCCCCGAGAAAAAGTCCTGATTGATAGTTCCCTTGCAACCGGGCTTCAGCTTTGTCACAAACAAGCTCTTTCCCCCGTTGTCTTGTTGGAAGATGATGTATTGCGTGAGGAGCCCAACGAAAGATTAAGAGAGAGACTATTCTGATTGGTTGATTTTCTTATTGGTAATCCAGTAGATATGATTGTTTTAAGTAAAAAAAAAGGCAAAAATAATATATCCTCTCTGTAGAAAGGGGATTCTTTTTAACAAGTACAGGCAATTACCTTTGTCCACCACAATCTAAAAGCTACGTAGAAAGTTTTAAGTAAAAAAAGACAAATTTAAAAAACCCTCTAAAAGCTACAAAGCATAGAAATCCTTCTTTAACAACATTTACCTGCATTCCCCAGTATCTAAACTCAACCTTTATTAGCTTGTATGCACACATCACATCAGATGGAGGCTTGTCTACTCTGTACTGCTCCAGCCAGTTCTCCTTCATAGGGCCCCGCCCTGTTTTGGTAGATTGATACAACAAAGGATCCTCTTCTTCAGAGTAGTCTGAGGAGGACACTTGATCCTTAATTGGATCAATTATATCTGTAAGAAAATTTTCACAAAAGTAAATTTGCTAGTGAGCACAGGAATAAGGAGCAGAAATCTCTTGGTCAATACCATTTGGAAGAGAAAGAATTTGATTTCCTGAAGCTAAAGCAACAAAATTTCATATTGATTGCCATACATTCAGCAGCTTCAAATTACCTGTAGATGCAAGCTCTCTTACAAATCCACACAACAGACACATTCTAGAAAACACAAACTTCAATGTTGTAGATAAAGACACTGACCTACTTCCCTTCCCTGTAAGTCCACTGGTGATAAATTAAATACATTTTCCTGAAAGAAATTGTACACCACAATAAGAAAATATCGAATATCCACACAAACTTTTGACCAGTTTTTATTTTTGGAAGACTGTTTAGAATTCAAACTCAAAGCACTCTATTCAGTAGTAATCAATAAAGATTGGTGTTTTGTCTCTGGTGCAGACAAGTGACAAGAAAAAATAAAATGATTCACAAGCAAATGTTTATAGCATAGACAAAATGCTGGTATCAAAGCTAAAATAAACTATGCAGAAATATGGAATCAATATCAGTATCTGAGCAACTGCACACCTACCCCTCTCCTAACTCAACATTAACCTTAATTTGACTGTCGACTGTTGTTGGGTTTAGAGTGGGTTGGTGCAAAATCACTCAGATACTGACAATGATCCACAATATGTACCTGCTGTCCAGCATCAGGGTAATAATATGTTTCTACATCAACAAAAAACTTCTCTACAAAAGGACATGTTGTCCTCATCTTGGTATATGGATAGGCATTCCATGCCTCTTCTTCAACTCTTAAAGCTGCCTTTGGCAGAATTGCTTTCAGCCAGCTGGGCAAATGGTTTCCAATGTGATAGATTTTTTTTGTGTATTGTCCATTTCCTCCAGGGCCATTTGTGTAAGGAGTATTTTCAAGAATCTCCACTCCGCTGCCTTCACCAACACTATCCAGCCGACTCTTTTTCTAACAGGAACAACAGAAGAAGTCGATTAAAACTAATTTGACTCACTTTGCATTAACTTTTTATTTAAATAAGGTAATTGATTGAGTGAAATTAATTACATGTATCTAAATGTTTCAGCTTAAATTAAATTTCCATTCAAATCCATTTTAAACCAGGTTCATTTGTATTTTCCTCTATCCAGATCAAAATATATATTCCATATACATTAAGACAGCCCTTTAAAACAAAGAAAATTCAAATCAAACTAATAATTGTACCTTGAAAACATCTTACCCTGAAAACCATTTTAAACTTTGACAAATAAATATTATGTATGTACCGTAGTTATTCGGTTATAAGGCGCACTCGGCTATTAGACGCACCCCCAATTCGGCAACTTCATTATTGCATGTTTTCAAACTGAGAAAATCGCTAAAATACTTGGTTATAAGGCGCACCGTTGTTTGGAGAGTAAAGGTCGGTCAAGTTTATTGTAATTTCTTTCATAAACTTACAAAAAAGCGAAAAAGTCACGTATTGATTTTAGTTTACCGTTAATCAACAAAAGAAGATTACAACAGGTGATGATTTTAATGCACAGGTGTACACAATGAATTGGAATTTTTTTTCAAGTTAAGCCACCTACTATTTACAATTATAGTTCTATGAATTAAAACAGCATTGAAAAACATGTCTCTTCAAAAAGAGTTTTAAAATATTGTGCTACAAAAGAATAAACATTTTATAATAACTGACTGTTGATAAAAACAAGGACTGTCACAGGTTAATTACTGAAAGATGCTCATAGAATTAACATGACAAAGATAATAAACCTAAGTTTTCTTTGAATCATATAAACTTTCAAAATGCATGTATTACAGATAGAGTGGAATGGGCGCAATCTCCATCAAAACACTCAAACAAAATGTGTTGTGGAGCTGTCTGGTGCACAATCTTTCATCAAGTTGTTATCAGGAGAAGTGGGGAGACATAGAAGCTCTACCCCTCCCCCCCTTCACCCACCAAACAATTACATTCCTCCTTTCTGTTCATCTCTAACCATATTTACATGTGCATCCCACATTCAAACTTTCTTTAATTCCTACATCCCAGAAGTGTAAAAAGGGTAACAGAGTACCTAACATTCCACCAACCCTATGCTAGGACTTACTGCAGATGTCAATTTCTGTCCACCTCGAAACACTCTACATCACACATTCAAACTTTCTTTAATTCCCACATCCCAGCAGTGGAAAAGGCTTACAGTGTACTTAACATTCCATCAACCCTATGCTAAGCCATCTTGTGACTCATATTGGTACCTCTTGCACTTACTGCAGGTGTCAATTTTTGCCCACCACTAAGCACACTTCATCCCACCTTCAAAGCAGTTAAAAAAAAGCTTACAAAACATTCCACCAACCCTGTGTTAGGTCATCTTGTGACTCATAATGAGAGATTCTTAAGTGTATATTTCTTTCATTCTACAAACCACAAGTGATAAAAAAAAGCCTCATTCTGCATTGCTGCCAACCCTATGAACACTTTCATTTGAATTGTAATCAAAAGTGTTAATTGTGAATTCTTATTGGAGGATCGAATATTTATTTTAAATTATATCCAAAATTGAAGCAAATGATTTCAATTCCAAATAATTAAGAATAACTGGACATAGTTGAGAAAAATATTATTATTTTGTGATTTGACAGTGCTAAGCTGATGCTTTTAAGTTGGGGCCGAAGGTCAAGGCAAGTTCATTTTTCAGAACTACATGTATCATCCTGAAAATCCTTCCCAATAGGTTAGAGAAAGCATTTGACATTTTCTACTGACAAGTATGCAATTGGATGCAGTGAGCAGATCTTTATTTGTACGCTGTTATTTGTAAGTCACATGGTCAACTTTTGGCCAATGTAAAGGAGAGGTAACAGGGCATCAAATTATAAATTTAATTTGTCTAATGATGGAGTATTGGGTGATCGTGATTCTCCTACACTGCTAACCATCATCTGATGAAGAGTTCTTTATGGAGCTATCATAGACTTTGTCACCAAGATCTTTCTTATAAAATCCTTCAAACAATAATGAGCAATTATTACTGTGATCTCTTGAGAAAACCAAAATGTTAACTCAGAATTAAAAAATGAAGCATGTACATGAAAAGAGGATACTTTACAGGAATTTTTTTTTTTTGATAATCAAAACAATTCTCGCATAGATTGAAATGCAACAACAGAAAAAAATTGAAAGATAAAAATTACAAAATGTAATGATAACAATTCCCTCAAATGAAGATAAATAATACAGTATCTATGGTCACAGTGATGTAATCAACACCTTAGTACATCAAACTGAAGATAACCATTCATTGACTTAAAGCTGGTGAAAGAATAATCCTTCATTGACCTTAAAAGTATACTGAGCCTTGAAATGACTTTTAACTCATGGATTCTTTTAAAATGGGTTTGACCCTTTACAATTTTTTTAAAGACTTTTAAGCAGATTTCTTTAGTTCGGAGGTAGTGTTTCTTTTGTTAGTGCTTCCTTTCAACTGGTCCTTACAGTGTTCTCCAGAGGTAGCAGTGGCCAGTGTTCTTGCCAGCTATTTGTTTCTGAAATGCTTGTGATATAATTTAGCCCAAACAGTAAAATGCCTGTCTTGATCTGGCCTAAATTCAAACCTCTGCTGGCTGGTGCTTTCTTATCCCTAGGTACAAAATTCCCTCAAGCCAACTTATGCTGATGTTGCAGAAACAACCATTTATAAGATCTAAGAAAAATGTGCTCTCAAATGGAATCAAGTAAAAGTCTTCAATGTGTTACAGTTCAACCAAATATTTTTAAGAAATGAACTGCTAAATTAATCATTATTGAAGAGGTAACCATCTCTGTCCAGTCATGAAACAAAGAACAAACAATACTCAATTATCCCTGTCAATAATTAAAATTACTGAGATACTTAATGACTATGAATTACAAAATATTAATCCCCCAAAAAATTAACCTAAGAGACAACTAGAACTTTGACTTGGCATTTACAACTGATATTGAAGTCAATATAAATGGAATGAATCTATTCATTTACCTACTGACATTTATATAAATTATGGACCAACTTAAGTAGAAGACAGTGTTATATTTACATTCTGCAGAATTTTCTGTTCTATGGTTGAGTGGAGCTTATCAAATATTTTAATTTAGCTAAGAGGCACATCTCAGCAATTGGTGAAAATATTTTGTTTATGATAGCAAGTACAAATTTTTTAACCAAAACAGCTGAGATTATCAAAATGCTAATACTGGCCTGTGTCCAAAAGCATTCATATTCATTCAGACCGGCAAAACAAAATGTTTAAAACCACAAAACAGCTGAATTCCATCATTTGGGTATCCAATGTGCCCAAGTAATTTTTTTGAATAAAAATTGTAAAAAAGGGAAATTAGTGGCTTTTGAAGGAAGAAATAATGGATGTCCTTATTAAAGGTTTTTGAGATAAAATACCAGAAAGTGTTGAATACAATATCATGTTGAACCTAAATCTGCCCCAAGGGATTTTATGGAGCCAAAAAATAATTTGAAAAGGCTATGACAAAGGTAATGAAATCGACACCCGTTTGATCAAAGCCACAGTTCGAATTTTCGTTCCCCAGATTTAATCTCCGCAGTGATGTTACAAGTTAAGCTCTCTGACTCGCATCTAACGGTTTTAATAGTTTCTGTGTGGAGAACAGAGAGGCTGTTCGGAATTCAAAGAAGACGGAAAATTTGACATGAAGATCGAACATGTGAGAGCGCCCACGCCAATGTGTCAACTTCACAGACGACTTGACATGCAAATATGTGCAAATGTGCATTTCACTTCGATTTCACTCACTCTCACGATGTCGACAAACATACAAGCATCAAAAAGATTATAACGAGAAATATAACATACAGATACCTCAGTTGACTTTTGATCGCACTTTTTTCGTGAAACGGACAAATTATTCGTTAAAATCATGATTGTATGTTCTTGTTTTTCCAAGAAATGATTCGATCCAGTTAGCTCCGAGCTATGTCAACAATGTCACGAGAGAGAAAGGGAGAAAAAATTCGTGGACACCACAACAAAAAGTTACTATCTAAACCACAATAGACTTTGCATAATTTGTCGCCTATTCTAAGCCAAGAAAATTCACTACCGAGGCAATCGAAACAGTCAAAACACAATATCTGTCTAAGGTATAAATATATCGTCAGGAAAAAAAAAATCGGCCGTCCGCCGGTTTGGTAACTGAAAGCTTGTTTACAAGGCTCAGGCTGTGTTCGAGGTACATAACTTTGACATGTACATATACAAACACTGAAACAAACAGTATGCGAAATCGTCTAGAGTTTGCAGTCGCGATCCAACTCCTTCGAACGTGTAGGACAGTTGGAAAACATAGTTCGGAACAAAAGAACCATACCTGGATCATATACAACTGAGCTATCCTATACTCTTCCACGCTCATCGGCAGAGGAATTCTGTATTCTTTGATCAACATTATTATTCGTACCAGGGCAACGAAGATTCGAAGCGATGTTGATCGACGCGAGAAATTCTCGATGGCCTGTTTCAATCGAAGGCCAGAAACGTTAGTTTCACATAAAAGCGAAATGTCCAAGAGTCGAACAGCTTGCAAGCTGTCCGCTGAAAATAAACACAACTCGTACTCCGCCGGCCGGAAGCCATCTTGAATGACGTCACGTAGTATCGGAACAGATGGCGAGCCTCACTTTCAGATTATAGAAAATTTATGAAACAGATCCCAAACTGGTTGTCCCGTTATACGTCAAAAATGACGTTGAGACACGCTATGATCAAAAATGCGGTTGAAAATCCACAAGCGATTGTGTCAGAGTTGGTCTTACGTATTATACAATTCAAGAATTAACGAATTACGCGGTACTCTTTGATTGATGGTTGTCATTACAGAGCAAAGAAATACGGATGAGTCATGATTTTTTTTTTCCCTAGTTTTTCCAACCTACCAATTTTCTGTGAATTTCCGATTGGAGCATATGAAGCCTTAGAGATTCAAAAAACAGGTAGAGAAATGAAAGGGCGGAAGCTTTTTATTAGCAGGAAAAAGAAGATGGAAGAAAAAACCGAGAAGGGAAGTGCTCTCGGAATCTTGGAAATGGACAAAACCAGGCGCCCATTCTAAATTGGGAACATGATCTTTCAACTCTGGAGCGCTTACGAGGCATATTAATATTTTCCGTTATTTTTAAACTTATAAAAAAAAACTGCTAAAAAAACATTCTTGACGTGTGTCTATTCAACAAATGTTGCCATGGGTGCTTCACAGGTAGCATCAAGATTCTGTGAGAACAAAAGAAGGTGGCACGCGAGGCGTAACCGAATGCGTAACCAATCAATGCGTATGCCCTCCAGAGAACTAATCAAAGTGAACGTCTAAATCAAATTACAAATGACGTCAAATAACGTAAGGATCATCTGTTATTTACTACCCTGAGGCTCTTCATTGTTCTTACAACATTTTTTCCATTCCCCCTGTATCCAACGTCCCCTTCAGAGAGATCTAGTGTACAAATCGATTCTATGTGGCCGTGCATCTGTTGAATAAAGATCGCAGATGACGTCACGATATGGCGAGAACGAAAAAATACGTGACACGAGGTACAGCCGTCAGTATGTCACTAATGCGCTTACTACAATTTAACATCTTCTGTGATATAACATGCTTCAGAATATAATTTTGGAACTGACAGCGTTGTCACATGTGACTGTTGTGTGACCCAATTACCCTACTAAGTAGCCAGGCCTCTAGCTTCTGGTTTCAAAATGGCTGGGCTTTGCAAGACACTTACCTCGGTTCTCTTCGAATACGACACGTCTAAAGTGGTTCACATTCAAAGTAAGACAATTGGAATCATCAACAGACTTATTCAACTCAGTATAATATGTTACGTCATCATGTAAGTGGCTGGTGAGATTTTTCTACAATTATACCTCGAGGTACTAACACACACTTGAAGTAAAGACATGTAGAAGTTTAATCGTTTTTCTACCCCTGTAATTTTGCACCTATTTGTTCTTGTACTCAGTTGTTCTCTTATCAAGATTAACAGTGCTTAGTATTGGTCTGGGGTATAATTAACTGTACACGATTATTCATTTTCATAAATGGTTATTTTATTGAACCTTTCGCGTAAATTTTGGTTCGCATGTTAGCTAGAGGAAAACTGGAAACTAATGGATGAAACTGGTTGCAAGAAAAACTACATCTGTTGCTCTGTCTAAGTCCGTACTGATCGACGGACTTTACATGTAGCTTCATTTTTTAATCAAAATGGAATCTGTTTAACAAACAGTGTTTAAGTGGCTTAAACACAAAGCTATTGGAGCTGATTTCTACTGTGTCTTCTGATCTGCAGAGCAGACATTTTTCTTAAAGCCTCTCAGCTGTTTACAGTGCTGATCTTTCGTTTTCATCAAACGAATTCATTAGCTTAGTGACCTGCCAAATGCTGTTTTCCCGTGCTGTCTTGTTTGTTACGCGTGATCCTTCGAAGCTCTTCGGTGTTTCGAAATATGGTAAAATACTTCTCTAGTAAATCGAAGTGCCCGTGTATGCTCAAATCGTGGTGATATAAATGTTGTGGTTCAATTTTATCCTTGGTTCAAATTTTCTTTTCCTTTGTTTCAAACTCATTATCATACATTACAATACCCAAAAAAAAAAGAAAAGAAAATTTGAACTAAGGATAAAATTGAACCACAACATACATACACCCACATACACATTCAAACTTATTATCATACATTACAATACCCAAAAACAAAAGAATGTAAAATTTGAACCAAGGATAAAATTGAACCACAACATAAACAAGTGCTAATAAATTGCACAGCACACGGTTACATTTTGCTCTGCAGTTTCTTTTTAACCCTTTGATTCCTAGGTGCAACAGCCAATCAATATGAGGCCCACTATGAGCCAAAAAGACCTCTAATCAAAGCTACAACAAAATTCTCGTATGTGATTGGGTATAACCAACTCAGTTTGAGGACTGATAGGACAGTAAATGCATCATGCTTGTAACTGAACAGTGTAATAGGACAGTTAACACATCATGCTTTTATAAGTGGACACATCATGAGGTAGTGCATTTCACCGAGTTAACTGTTATTGACCAAGCATTGACCTTACAATGTCAATGCTAGTGATGAGAACAAAGAAAAATAGCAATTGGGGGATTTTTAGTTGATCCATTGGCAAATTCTCCAAACTAACATCATGAGAATTGCATGGCAGAAAATAAGGAGAATTACTGATGAGATCTTGAGAGTGAAAGGGTTAAAACTGTTTTGGTATATTATGTCTTGAAACCATTTACTTTCAATCTTTCAGCTATGTTATAATCTATGAGAAAGGATACCAAGACACACAGAAACCTTACAGTTCTGTTACTACAAAAGTTAAAGGAGTATCGTCAACAAACTTGACACCTGAGTTGAATGATAGTTTTCCATTATACAATGGAATTCATGTGTGGGATTCAGCAGATTACATTGTTCCACCTGAGGTACAATTTAATTTGGATTTTCTTTGTTATTTTTGTCTTTCGTGGTTTTCTATTCCTGTTTTATTTCTCTGAAATAATGTTTGTTATATATAACATCTTTTGTCAGCTCTTGACTCAGAGTTTTTCTCTGAAATCTCCCAAGAAGTAGCTGTCTAATTAAACTTTTCAATACATTTATATCAGCACTATGATAAACATACTTTATTTGGTGATTTGACAAAGCTTCACTCAGCCAGCCCAGAAAATGTTATTTGAAATTTTATAAAACTACAGACATTGGGTGGTTGGGATACATGATATCGTTGGAGAATAAGAACCACTATAGCCCTAAAGTTAGGGCACTGGACTCTGGGCAGTAAGGACCTAGTTTTAGACTTGCCCAGGTCTTTGTGTTGGGTTGTGGGGAAGACACTTAACTCTAAAAGTGCCTCTCTCCACCCAGAAATATAAAAGTGTACTGTTGAACTGTGAGGGGAATCAGACAAAATGCTGATGCATAACTGGTAATCAACCAGTATCCCATCATGAGGGGAGGGGGGAAACAGTGATACTCCTGGCCACTTATGCTACAGAAATCAGGATGCACTCTGGTTGGATGGGCCAGTTGGCTCCAGTACAGACTGAACTTTTTTGTTTTATATCCTTGAAGCTAGAGGATAGAAGGCCCAATTTCTCTTGCCCAACTTTGTATTATTTTTGAATGATATAAAGTAATTGCAGTGTCTTTTGGAATTCATTAGTCCGTTATTCTGTCATTCTGGCAAGAAGGAAGTACATACCAGCACAATGTAAAGCCTGCAGTGAAAACATGTACTGTACATGAAAATGGTCTTCTACTACTCTATTTTTATAACCCTAATCATTTTAAATTTGATCTATGTGGTTGAAATTTATTCTCTCCTTAAAACTTTTCTGTTTGATTTTTGGCATCTTTTCACATGCATCATGACAATCTCAAACAAAAAAAAATTAAAAGGCAGACTAGTTTGGCAAATTTTAAACCAAGAACACTTAAAAACCACAACAAAATAATGTAAAATTTTCAGTGAGAGATACAGATCTTATTTTACAGGAAAACGGTGCTTTCTTTGTGATGACAAACATGATCATCACTCCAGATCAGTCACAGGGTGCTTGCCCAGAAGATCCTGACCTTACAGATGTCAAATGTTACAATGACAGTGACTGTGAAGCTATGGAACCCACCCACTATGGACATGGTGAGTTTTTTCTATGCTATCTCAGATAGCTGTGTTCTCTGTTATTTTCCATGTATGTTTTTTTTCTAATATGAACACTACAGAAAATTACAGTAATTAACTTACCGTCAGAAGAATGGGCATGTCCACACAGTGATTATTCAATTAGGTTTTTATCTTATTTGTTACTATTTTAGGAATTTTTAAAGCTAAGGATAAATGTCACACCACCTTCAAAGTTAACATGCTGACACTGAATATATTCAGAATCACAAATAATCTTTCATTTTCCATTGTTCACTTGTCAGGAATCAAGACTGGGCGATGTGTAAAAGCAGACAGAGGTGATAAACCTCATTTGAAAGTGTGTGAGATCTATGCCTGGTGTCCTGTGGAAATAGATGAATTACCTATGCAACACTTCAACCTCAGGTTAGCTACTGTGGCAGTTATATGATTGACACATTTTTGTATAACAGTTAAACACAGAGGACAATCTTCTTCAACCTTGGGTAAATGACTATGGCAGTCATATCATTGACACATTTTTAAATATCAATCAAGTACAGTGAACTCTTTCTGAATGGAACTAAGAGTCTATGCTTGAAGATGTCTATCATAAGAAAACTTACACAGTAAGAAAATGACTTAAGAATGCAGATGGCTCAGATCATCTCCAAGACAGTTTCATTGGGGTAACTTCAATTTGGTGTTGAAAGCAATTCGTGAGTGAGGTGCTTTTTGCTCAGCTCTTTGACCCCAAGAGTGACTAGCATCTAGTTTCTCCCTTGGTGAAATATCACCACTGAATCACACATTAATGTCAAGAGGATAAAGGAAAGGATTAACGACTAATTGGATAAAGGGCTTATTCTGTATGGGAGCCAGAGGGCTAAAGTTTAGCCCCCAGAACCCTGAAACAAAAGATCTGAGTTGGGGGC